GAGTTTTGTATTAGATTTCTCACTTTCCAATAGAGCAGAACTAGTCCTGGAAACATTTGACGTTTCCGGAATCGTGAAGTTTTGAAGGAATATGGGTGGGTATATATTGAGAATCGTTGTTTTTGCGAGCCATTGCAAAGGTACTCGGACCCGACCTCTGGGATTGGCCTGGAGTTTTGTATTAGATTTCTCATTTTCCAATAGAGCAGAACTAGTCCTGGAAACATTTGACGTTTCCGGAATCGTGAAGTTTTGAAGGAATATGGGTGGGTATATATTGAGAATCGTTGTTTTTGCGAGCCATTGCAAAGGTACTCGGACCCGACCTTTGGGACTGGCCTGGAGTTTTGTATTAGATTTCTCATTTTCCAATAGAGCAGAACTAGTCCTGGAAACATTTGACGTTTCCGGAATCGTGAAGTTTTGAAGGAATATGGGTGGGTATATATTGAGAATCGTTGTTTTTGCGAGCCATTGCAAAGGTACTCGGACCCGAACTCTAGGACTGGCCTGGAGTTTTGTATTAGATTTCTCACTTTCCAGTAGAGCAGTACTAGTCCTAGAAACATTTGACGTTCCCGGAATCGTGAATTTTTGAAGGAATATGGTGGGTATATATTGAGAATCGTTGTTTTTGCGAGCCATTGCAAAGGTACTCGGACCCGACCTCTGGGATTGGCCTGGAGTTTTGTATTAGATTTCTCACTTTCCAATAGAGCAGAACTAGTCCTGGAAACATTTGACGTTTCCGGAATCGTGAAGTTTTGAAGGAATATGGGTGGGTATATATTGAGAATCGTTGTTTTTGCGAGCGATTGCAAAGGTACTCGGACCCAACCTCTGAGACTGGCCTGGAGTTTTGTATTAGATTTCTCACTTTCCAATAGAGCAGTACTAGTCCTGGAAACATTTGACGTTTCCGGAATCGTGAATTTTTGAAGGAATATGGGTGGGTATATATTGAGAATCGTTGTTTTTGCGAGCCATTGCAAAGGTACTCGGACCCGACCTTTGGGACTGGCCTGGAGTTTTGTATTAGATTTCTCACTTTCCAGTAGAGCAGTACTAGTCTTAGAAACATTTGACGTTCCCGGAATCGTGAATTTTTAAAGGAATATGGTGGGTATATATTGAGAATCGTTGTTTTTGCGAGCCATTGCAAAGGTACTCGGACCCAACCTCTGGGACTGGCCTGGAGTTTTGTATTAGATTTCTCACTTTCCAATAGAGCAGAACTAGTCCTGGAAACATTTGACGTTTCCGGAATCGTGAATTTTTGAAGGAATATGGGTGGGTATATTTTGAGAATTGTTGTTTTTGAGAGCCATTGCAAAGGTACTCGGACCCAACCTCTGGGACTGGCCTGGAGTTTTGTATTAGATTTCTCACTTTCCAATAGAGCAGAACTAGTACTGGAAACATTTGACGTTTCCGGAATTGTGAATTTTTGAAGGAATATGGGTGGGTATATTTTGAGAATCGTTGTTTTTGCGAGCCATTGCAAAGGTACTCGGACCCGACTTCTGGGATTGGCCTGGAGTTTTGTATTAGATTTCTCACTTTCCAATAGAGCAGAACTAGTCCTGGAAACATTTGACGTTTCCGGAATCGTGAAGTTTTGAAGGAATATGGGTGGGTATATATTGAGAATCGTTGTTTTCGCGAGCCATTGCAAAGGTACTCGGACCCAACCTCTGAGACTGGCCTGGAGTTTTGTATTAGATTTCTCACTTTCCAATAGAGCAGTACTAGTCCTGGAAACATTTGACGTTTCCGGGATCGTGAATTTTTGAAGGAATATGGGTGGGTATATATTGAGAATCGTTGTTTTTGCGAGCCATTGCAAAGGTACTCGGACCCGACCTCTGGGATTGGCCTGGAGTTTTGTATTAGATTTCTCATTTTCCAATAGAGCAGAACTAGTCCTGGAAACATTTGACGTTTCCGGAATCGTGAAGTTTTGAAGGAATATGGGTGGGTATATATTGAGAATCGTTGTTTTTGCGAGCCATTGCAAAGGTACTCGGACCCGACCTTTGGGACTGGCCTGGAGTTTTGTATTAGATTTCTCACTTTCCAGTAGAGCAGTACTAGTCCTAGAAACATTTGACGTTCCCGGAATCGTGAATTTTTAAAGGAATATGGTGGGTATATATTGAGAATCGTTGTTTTTGCGAGCCATTGCAAAGGTACTCGGACCCAACCTCTGGGACTGGCCTGGAGTTTTGTATTAGATTTCTCACTTTCCAATAGAGCAGAACTAGTCCTGGAAACATTTGACGTTTCCGGAATCGTGAATTTTTGAAGGAATATGGGTGGGTATATTTTGAGAATTGTTGTTTTTGCGAGCCTGCAAGGGTACTCGGACCCGACCTCTAGGACTGGCCTGGAGTTTTGTATTAGATTTCTCATTTTCCAATAGAGCAGAACTAGTCCTGGAAACATTTGACGTTTCCGGAATCGTGAAGTTTTGAAGGAATATGGGTGGGTATATAAAGAATCGTTGTTTTTGCGAGCCATTGCAAAGGTACACGGACCCGACCTCTAGGACTGGCCTGGAGTTTTGTATTAGATTTCTCACTTTCCAATAGAGCAGTACTAGTCCTGGAAACATTTGACGTTTCCGGAATCGTGAAGTTTTGAAGGAATATGGGTGGGTATATATTGAGAATCGTTGTTTTTGCGAGCCATTGCAAAGGTACTCGGACCCGACCTTTGGGACTGGCCTGGAGTTTTGTATTAGATTTCTCATTTTCCAATAGAGCAGAACTAGTCCTGGAAACATTTGACGTTTCCGGAATCGTGAAGTTTTGAAGGAATATGGGTGGGTATATATTGAGAATCGTTGTTTTTGCGAGCCATTGCAAAGGTACTCGGACCCGACCTCTGGGATTGGCCTGGAGTTTTGTATTAGATTTCTCACTTTCCAATAGAGCAGAACTAGTCCTGGAAACATTTGACGTTTCCGGAATCGTGAAGTTTTGAAGGAATATGGGTGGGTATATATTGAGAATCGTTGTTTTTGCGAGCCATTGCAAAGGTACTCGGACCCAACCTCTGAGACTGGCCTGGAGTTTTGTATTAGATTTCTCACTTTCCAATAGAGCAGTACTAGTCCTGGAAACATTTGACGTTTCCGGAATCGTGAATTTTTGAAGGAATATGGGTGGGTATATATTGAGAATCGTTGTTTTTGCGAGCCATTGCAAAGGTACTCGGACCCGACCTTTGGGACTGGCCTGGAGTTTTGTATTAGATTTCTCACTTTCCAGTAGAGCAGTACTAGTCCTAGAAACATTTGACGTTCCCGGAATCGTGAATTTTTAAAGGAATATGGTGGGTATATATTGAGAATCGTTGTTTTTGCGAGCCATTGCAAAGGTACTCGGACCCAACCTCTGGGACTGGCCTGGAGTTTTGTATTAGATTTCTCACTTTCCAATAGAGCAGAACTAGTCCTGGAAACATTTGACGTTTCCGGAATCGTGAATTTTTGAAGGAATATGGGTGGGTATATTTTGAGAATTGTTGTTTTTGCGAGCCTGCAAGGGTACTCGGACCCGACCTCTAGGACTGGCCTGGAGTTTTGTATTAGATTTCTCATTTTCCAATAGAGCAGAACTAGTCCTGGAAACATTTGACGTTTCCGGAATCGTGAAGTTTTGAAGGAATATGGGTGGGTATATATTGAGAATCGTTGTTTTTGCGAGCCATTGCAAAGGTACTCGGACCCGACCTCTGGGATTGGCCTGGAGTTTTGTATTAGATTTCTCACTTTCCAATAGAGCAGAACTAGTCCTGGAAACATTTGACGTTTCCGGAATCGTGAAGTTTTGAAGGAATATGGGTGGGTATATATTGAGAATCGTTGTTTTTGCGAGCCATTGCAAAGGTACTCGGACCCAACCTCTGAGACTGGCCTGGAGTTTTGTATTAGATTTCTCACTTTCCAATAGAGCAGTACTAGTCCTGGAAACATTTGACGTTTCCGGAATCGTGAATTTTTGAAGGAATATGGGTGGGTATATATTGAGAATCGTTGTTTTTGCGAGCCATTGCAAAGGTACTCGGACCCGACCTTTGGGACTGGCCTGGAGTTTTGTATTAGATTTCTCACTTTCCAGTAGAGCAGTACTAGTCCTAGAAACATTTGACGTTCCCGGAATCGTGAATTTTTAAAGGAATATGGTGGGTATATATTGAGAATCGTTGTTTTTGCGAGCCATTGCAAAGGTACTCGGACCCAACCTCTGGGACTGGCCTGGAGTTTTGTATTAGATTTCTCACTTTCCAATAGAGCAGAACTAGTCCTGGAAACATTTGACGTTTCCGGAATCGTGAATTTTTGAAGGAATATGGGTGGGTATATTTTGAGAATTGTTGTTTTTGCGAGCCTGCAAGGGTACTCGGACCCGACCTCTAGGACTGGCCTGGAGTTTTGTATTAGATTTCTCATTTTCCAATAGAGCAGAACTAGTCCTGGAAACATTTGACGTTTCCGGAATCGTGAAGTTTTGAAGGAATATGGGTGGGTATATAAAGAATCGTTGTTTTTGCGAGCCATTGCAAAGGTACACGGACCCGACCTCTAGGACTGGCCTGGAGTTTTGTATTAGATTTCTCACTTTCCAATAGAGCAGTACTAGTCCTGGAAACATTTGACGTTTCCGGAATCGTGAAGTTTTGAAGGAATATGGGTGGGTATATATTGAGAATCGTTGTTTTTGCGAGCCATTGCAAAGGTACTCGGACCCGACCTTTGGGACTGGCCTGGAGTTTTGTATTAGATTTCTCATTTTCCAATAGAGCAGAACTAGTCCTGGAAACATTTGACGTTTCCGGAATCGTGAAGTTTTGAAGGAATATGGGTGGGTATATATTGAGAATCGTTGTTTTTGCGAGCCATTGCAAAGGTACTCGGACCCGACCTCTAGGACTGGCCTGGAGTTTTGTATTAGATTTCTCACTTTCCAGTAGAGCAGTACTAGTCCTAGAAACATTTAACGTTCCCGGAATCGTGAATTTTTGAAGGAATATGGTGGGTATATATTGAGAATCGTTGTTTTTGCGAGCCATTGCAAAGGTACTCGGACCCAACCTCTGGGACTGGCCTGGAGTTTTGTATTAGATTTCTCACTTTCCAATAGAGCAGAACTAGTCCTGGAAACATTTGACGTTTCCGGAATCGTGAAGTTTTGAAGGAATATGGGTGGGTATATATTGAGAATCGTTGTTTTTGCGAGCCATTGCAAAGGTACTCGGACCCAACCTCTGGGACTGGCCTGGAGTTTTGTATTAGATTTCTCACTTTCCAATAGAGCAGAACTAGTCCTGGAAACATTTGACGTTTCCGGAATCGTGAAGTTTTGAAGGAATATGGGTGGGTATATATTGAGAATCGTTGTTTTTGCGAGCCATTGCAAAGGTACTCGGACCCAACCTCTGAGACTGGCCTGGAGTTTTGTATTAGATTTTTCACTTTCCAATAGAGCAGTACTAGTACTGGAAACATTTGACGTTTCCGGAATTGTGAATTTTTGAAGGAATATGGGTGGGTATATTTTGAGAATCGTTGTTTTTGCGAGCCATTGCAAAGGTACTCGGACCCGACCTCTGGGATTGGCCTGGAGATTTGTATTAGATTTCTCACTTTCCAATAGAGCAGAACTAGTCCTGGAAACATTTGACGTTTCCGGAATCGTGAAGTTTTGAAGGAATATGGGTGGGTATATATTGAGAATCGTTGTTTTCGCGAGCCATTGCAAAGGTACTCGGACCCAACCTCTGAGACTGGCCTGGAGTTTTGTATTAGATTTCTCACTTTCCAATAGAGCAGTACTAGTCCTGGAAACATTTGACGTTTCCGGAATCGTGAATTTTTGAAGGAATATGGGTGGGTATATATTGAGAATCGTTGTTTTTGCGAGCCATTGCAAAGGTACTCGGACCCGACCTCTGGGATTGGCCTGGAGTTTTGTATTAGATTTCTCATTTTCCAATAGAGCAGAACTAGTCCTGGAAACATTTGACGTTTCCGGAATTGTGAATTTTTGAAGGAATATGGGTGGGTATATTTTGAGAATCGTTGTTTTTGCGAGCCATTGCAAAGGTACTCGGACCCGACCTCTGGGATTGGCCTGGAGTTTTGTATTAGATTTCTCACTTTCCAATAGAGCAGAACTAGTCCTGGAAACATTTGACGTTTCCGGAATCGTGAAGTTTTGAAGGAATATGGGTGGGTATATATTGAGAATCGTTGTTTTTGCGAGCCATTGCAAAGGTACTCGGACCCAACCTCTGAGACTGGCCTGGAGTTTTGTATTAGATTTCTCACTTTCCAATAGAGCAGTACTAGTCCTGGAAACATTTGACGTTTCCGGAATCGTGAATTTTTGAAGGAATATGGGTGGGTATATATTGAGAATCGTTGTTTTTGCGAGCCATTGCAAAGGTACTCGGACCCGACCTCTGGGATTGGCCTGGAGTTTTGTATTAGATTTCTCATTTTCCAATAGAGCAGAACTAGTCCTGGAAACATTTGACGTTTCCGGAATCGTGAATTTTTGAAGGAATATGGGTGGGTATATATTGAGAATCGTTGTTTTTGCGAGCCATTGCAAAGGTACTCGGACCCGACCTTTGGGACTGGCCTGGAGTTTTGTATTAGATTTCTCATTTTCCAATAGAGCAGAACTAGTCCTGGAAACATTTGACGTTTCCGGAATCGTGAAGTTTTGAAGGAATATGGGTGGGTATATATTGAGAATCGTTGTTTTTGCGAGCCATTGCAAAGGTACTCGGACCCAACCTCTGAGACTGGCCTGGAGTTTTGTATTAGATTTCTCACTTTCCAATAGAGCAGTACTAGTCCTGGAAACATTTGACGTTTCCGGAATCGTGAATTTTTGAAGGAATATGGGTGGGTATATATTGAGAATCGTTGTTTTTGCGAGCCATTGCAAAGGTACTCGGACCCGACCTCTGGGATTGGCCTGGAGTTTTGTATTAGATTTCTCATTTTCCAATAGAGCAGAACTAGTCCTGGAAACATTTGACGTTTCCAGAATCGTGAATTTTTGAAGGAATATGGGTGGGTATATATTGAGAATCGTTGTTTTTGCGAGCCATTGCAAAGGTACTCGGACCCGACCTTTGGGACTGGCCTGGAGTTTTGTATTAGATTTCTCATTTTCCAATAGAGCAGAACTAGTCCTGGAAACATTTGACGTTTCCGGAATCGTGAAGTTTTGAAGGAATATGGGTGGGTATATATTGAGAATCGTTGTTTTTGCGAGCCATTGCAAAGGTACTCGGACCCAACCTCTGAGACTGGCCTGGAGTTTTGTATTAGATTTCTCACTTTCCAATAGAGCAGTACTAGTCCTGGAAACATTTGACGTTTCCGGAATCGTGAATTTTTGAAGGAATATGGGTGGGTATATATTGAGAATCGTTGTTTTTGCGAGCCATTGCAAAGGTACTCGGACCCGACCTCTGGGATTGGCCTGGAGTTTTGTATTAGATTTCTCATTTTCCAATAGAGCAGAACTAGTCCTGGAAACATTTGACGTTTCCGGAATCGTGAAGTTTTGAAGGAATATGGGTGGGTATATATTGAGAATCGTTGTTTTTGCGAGCCATTGCAAAGGTACTCGGACCCGAACTCTAGGACTGGCCTGGAGTTTTGTATTAGATTTCTCACTTTCCAGTAGAGCAGTACTAGTCCTAGAAACATTTGACGTTCCCGGAATCGTGAATTTTTGAAGGAATATGGTGGGTATATATTGAGAATCGTTGTTTTTGCGAGCCATTGCAAAGGTACTCGGACCCAACCTCTGAGACTGGCCTGGAGTTTTGTATTAGATTTCTCACTTTCCAATAGAGCAGTACTAGTCCTGGAAACATTTGACGTTTCCGGAATCGTGAATTTTTGAAGGAATATGGGTGGGTATATATTGAGAATCGCTGTTTTTGCGAGCCATTGCAAAGGTACTCGGACCCGACCTCTGGGATTGGCCTGGAGTTTTGTATTAGATTTCTCATTTTCCAATAGAGCAGAACTAGTCCTGGAAACATTTGACGTTTCCGGAATTGTGAATTTTTGAAGGAATATGGGTGGGTATATTTTGAGAATCGTTGTTTTTGCGAGCCATTGCAAAGGTACTCGGACCCGACCTCTGGGATTGGCCTGGAGTTTTGTATTAGATTTCTCACTTTCCAATAGAGCAGAACTAGTCCTGGAAACATTTGATATGGGTGGGTATATATTGAGAATCGTTGTTTTTGCGAGCCATTGCAAAGGTACTCGGACCCAACCTCTGAGACTGGCCTGGAGTTTTGCATTAGATTTCTCACTTTCCAATAGAGCAGTACTAGTCCTGGAAACATTTGACGTTTCCGGAATCGTGAATTTTTGAAGGAATATGGGTGGGTATATATTGAGAATCGTTGTTTTTGCGAGCCATTGCAAAGGTACTCGGACCCGAACTCTAGGACTGGCCTGGAGTTTTGTATTAGATTTCTCACTTTCCAGTAGAGCAGTACTAGTCCTAGAAACATTTGACGTTTCCGGAATCGTGAATTTTTGAAGGAATATGGGTGGGTATATATTGAGAATCGTTGTTTTTGCGAGCCATTGCAAAGGTACTCGGACCCGACCTCTGGGATTGGCCTGGAGTTTTGTATTAGATTTCTCATTTTCCAATAGAGCAGAACTAGTCCTGGAAACATTTGACGTTTCCGGAATCGTGAATTTTTGAAGGAATATGGGTGGGTATATATTGAGAATCGTTGTTTTTGCGAGCCATTGCAAAGGTACTCGGACCCGACCTTTGGGACTGGCCTGGAGTTTTGTATTAGATTTCTCATTTTCCAATAGAGCAGAACTAGTCCTGGAAACATTTGACGTTTCCGGAATCGTGAAGTTTTGAAAGAATATGGGTGGGTATATATTGAGAATCGTTGTTTTTGCGAGCCATTGCAAAGGTACTCGGACCCAACCTCTGAGACTGGCCTGGAGTTTTGTATTAGATTTCTCACTTTCCAATAGAGCAGTACTAGTCCTGGAAACATTTGACGTTTCCGGAATCGTGAATTTTTGAAGGAATATGGGTGGGTATATATTGAGAATCGTTGTTTTTGCGAGCCATTGCAAAGGTACTCGGACCCGACCTCTGGGATTGGCCTGGAGTTTTGTATTAGATTTCTCATTTTCCAATAGAGCAGAACTAGTCCTGGAAACATTTGACGTTTCCGGAATCGTGAATTTTTGAAGGAATATGGGTGGGTATATATTGAGAATCGTTGTTTTTGCGAGCCATTGCAAAGGTACTCGGACCCGACCTTTGGGACTGGCCTGGAGTTTTGTATTAGATTTCTCATTTTCCAATAGAGCAGAACTAGTCCTGGAAACATTTGACGTTTCCGGAATCGTGAAGTTTTGAAGGAATATGGGTGGGTATATATTGAGAATCGTTGTTTTTGCGAGCCATTGCAAAGGTACTCGGACCCAACCTCTGAGACTGGCCTGGAGTTTTGTATTAGATTTCTCACTTTCCAATAGAGCAGTACTAGTCCTGGAAACATTTGACGTTTCCGGAATCGTGAATTTTTGAAGGAATATGGGTGGGTATATATTGAGAATCGTTGTTTTTGCGAGCCATTGCAAAGGTACTCGGACCCGACCTCTGGGATTGGCCTGGAGTTTTGTATTAGATTTCTCATTTTCCAATAGAGCAGAACTAGTCCTGGAAACATTTGACGTTTCCGGAATCGTGAAGTTTTGAAGGAATATGGGTGGGTATATATTGAGAATCGTTGTTTTTGCGAGCCATTGCAAAGGTACTCGGACCCGAACTCTAGGACTGGCCTGGAGTTTTGTATTAGATTTCTCACTTTCCAGTAGAGCAGTACTAGTCCTAGAAACATTTGACGTTCCCGGAATCGTGAATTTTTGAAGGAATATGGTGGGTATATATTGAGAATCGTTGTTTTTGCGAGCCATTGCAAAGGTACTCGGACCCAACCTCTGAGACTGGCCTGGAGTTTTGTATTAGATTTCTCACTTTCCAATAGAGCAGTACTAGTCCTGGAAACATTTGACGTTTCCGGAATCGTGAATTTTTGAAGGAATATGGGTGGGTATATATTGAGAATCGCTGTTTTTGCGAGCCATTGCAAAGGTACTCGGACCCGACCTCTGGGATTGGCCTGGAGTTTTGTATTAGATTTCTCATTTTCCAATAGAGCAGAACTAGTCCTGGAAACATTTGACGTTTCCGGAATTGTGAATTTTTGAAGGAATATGGGTGGGTATATTTTGAGAATCGTTGTTTTTGCGAGCCATTGCAAAGGTACTCGGACCCGACCTCTGGGATTGGCCTGGAGTTTTGTATTAGATTTCTCACTTTCCAATAGAGCAGAACTAGTCCTGGAAACATTTGATATGGGTGGGTATATATTGAGAATCGTTGTTTTTGCGAGCCATTGCAAAGGTACTCGGACCCAACCTCTGAGACTGGCCTGGAGTTTTGCATTAGATTTCTCACTTTCCAATAGAGCAGTACTAGTCCTGGAAACATTTGACGTTTCCGGAATCGTGAATTTTTGAAGGAATATGGGTGGGTATATATTGAGAATCGTTGTTTTTGCGAGCCATTGCAAAGGTACTCGGACCCGACCTCTGGGATTGGCCTGGAGTTTTGTATTAGATTTCTCATTTTCCAATAGAGCAGAACTAGTCCTGGAAACATTTGACGTTTCCGGAATCGTGAAGTTTTGAAGGAATATGGGTGGGTATATATTGAGAATCGTTGTTTTTGCGAGCCATTGCAAAGGTACTCGGACCCGACCTTTGGGACTGGCCTGGAGTTTTGTATTAGATTTCTCATTTTCCAATAGAGCAGAACTAGTCCTGGAAACATTTGACGTTTCCGGAATCGTGAAGTTTTGAAGGAATATGGGTGGGTATATATTGAGAATCGTTGTTTTTGCGAGCCATTGCAAAGGTACTCGGACCCGACCTTTGGAACTGGCCTGGAGTTTTGTATTAGATTTCTCATTTTCCAATAGAGCAGAACTAGTCCTGGAAACATTTGACGTTTCCGGAATCGTGAAGTTTTGAAGGAATATGGGTGGGTATATATTGAGAATCGTTGTTTTTGCGAGCCATTGCAAAGGTACTCGGACCCGAACTCTAGGACTGGCCTGGAGTTTTGTATTAGATTTCTCACTTTCCAGTAGAGCAGTACTAGTCCTAGAAACATTTGACGTTCCCGGAATCGTGAATTTTTGAAGGAATATGGTGGGTATATATTGAGAATCGTTGTTTTTGCGAGCCATTGCAAAGGTACTCGGACCCGACCTCTGGGATTGGCCTGGAGTTTTGTATTAGATTTCTCACTTTCCAATAGAGCAGAACTAGTCCTGGAAACATTTGACGTTTCCGGAATCGTGAAGTTTTGAAGGAATATGGGTGGGTATATATTGAGAATCGTTGTTTTTGCGAGCCATTGCAAAGGTACTCGGACCCAACCTCTGAGACTGGCCTGGAGTTTTGCATTAGATTTCTCACTTTCCAATAGAGCAGTACTAGTCCTGGAAACATTTGACGTTTCCGGAATCGTGAATTTTTGAAGGAATATGGGTGGGTATATATTGAGAATCGTTGTTTTTGCGAGCCATTGCAAAGGTACTCGGACCCGACCTCTGGGGTTGGCCTGGAGTTTTGTATTAGATTTCTCATTTTCCAATGGAGCAGAACTAGTCCTGGAAACATTTGACGTTTCCGGAATCGTGAAGTTTTGAAGGAATATGGGTGGGTATATATTGAGAATCGTTGTTTTTGCGAGCCATTGCAAAGGTACTCGGACCCGACCTTTGGGACTGGCCTGGAGTTTTGTATTAGATTTCTCATTTTCCAATAGAGCAGAACTAGTCCTGGAAACATTTGACGTTTCCGGAATCGTGAAGTTTTGAAGGAATATGGGTGGGTATATATTGAGAATCGTTGTTTTTGCGAGCCATTGCAAAGGTACTCGGACCCGAACTCTAGGACTGGCCTGGAGTTTTGTATTAGATTTCTCACTTTCCAGTAGAGCAGTACTAGTCCTAGAAACATTTGACGTTCCCGGAATCGTGAATTTTTGAAGGAATATGGTGGGTATATATTGAGAATCGTTGTTTTTGCGAGCCATTGCAAAGGTACTCGGACCCAACCTCTGAGACTGGCCTGGAGTTTTGTATTAGATTTCTCACTTTCCAATAGAGCAGTACTAGTCCTGGAAACATTTGACGTTTCCGGAATCGTGAATTTTTGAAGGAATATGGGTGGGTATATATTGAGAATCGCTGTTTTTGCGAGCCATTGCAAAGGTACTCGGACCCGACCTCTGGGATTGGCCTGGAGTTTTGTATTAGATTTCTCATTTTCCAATAGAGCAGAACTAGTCCTGGAAACATTTGACGTTTCCGGAATTGTGAATTTTTGAAGGAATATGGGTGGGTATATTTTGAGAATCGTTGTTTTTGCGAGCCATTGCAAAGGTACTCGGACCCGACCTCTGGGATTGGCCTGGAGTTTTGTATTAGATTTCTCACTTTCCAATAGAGCAGAACTAGTCCTGGAAACATTTGATATGGGTGGGTATATATTGAGAATCGTTGTTTTTGCGAGCCATTGCAAAGGTACTCGGACCCAACCTCTGAGACTGGCCTGGAGTTTTGCATTAGATTTCTCACTTTCCAATAGAGCAGTACTAGTCCTGGAAACATTTGACGTTTCCGGAATCGTGAATTTTTGAAGGAATATGGGTGGGTATATATTGAGAATCGTTGTTTTTGCGAGCCATTGCAAAGGTACTCGGACCCGACCTCTGGGATTGGCCTGGAGTTTTGTATTAGATTTCTCATTTTCCAATAGAGCAGAACTAGTCCTGGAAACATTTGACGTTTCCGGAATCGTGAAGTTTTGAAGGAATATGGGTGGGTATATATTGAGAATCGTTGTTTTTGCGAGCCATTGCAAAGGTACTCGGACCCGACCTTTGGGACTGGCCTGGAGTTTTGTATTAGATTTCTCATTTTCCAATAGAGCAGAACTAGTCCTGGAAACATTTGACGTTTCCGGAATCGTGAAGTTTTGAAGGAATATGGGTGGGTATATATTGAGAATCGTTGTTTTTGCGAGCCATTGCAAAGGTACTCGGACCCGACCTTTGGAACTGGCCTGGAGTTTTGTATTAGATTTCTCATTTTCCAATAGAGCAGAACTAGTCCTGGAAACATTTGACGTTTCCGGAATCGTGAAGTTTTGAAGGAATATGGGTGGGTATATATTGAGAATCGTTGTTTTTGCGAGCCATTGCAAAGGTACTCGGACCCGAACTCTAGGACTGGCCTGGAGTTTTGTATTAGATTTCTCACTTTCCAGTAGAGCAGTACTAGTCCTAGAAACATTTGACGTTCCCGGAATCGTGAATTTTTGAAGGAATATGGTGGGTATATATTGAGAATCGTTGTTTTTGCGAGCCATTGCAAAGGTACTCGGACCCGACCTCTGGGATTGGCCTGGAGTTTTGTATTAGATTTCTCACTTTCCAATAGAGCAGAACTAGTCCTGGAAACATTTGATATGGGTGGGTATATATTGAGAATCGTTGTTTTTGCGAGCCATTGCAAAGGTACTCGGACCCAACCTCTGAGACTGGCCTGGAGTTTTGCATTAGATTTCTCACTTTCCAATAGAGCAGTACTAGTCCTGGAAACATTTGACGTTTCCGGAATCGTGAATTTTTGAAGGAATATGGGTGGGTATATATTGAGAATCGTTGTTTTTGCGAGCCATTGCAAAGGTACTCGGACCCGACCTCTGGGATTGGCCTGGAGTTTTGTATTAGATTTCTCATTTTCCAATAGAGCAGAACTAGTCCTGGAAACATTTGACGTTTCCGGAATCGTGAAGTTTTGAAGGAATATGGGTGGGTATATATTGAGAATCGTTGTTTTTGCGAGCCATTGCAAAGGTACTCGGACCCGACCTTTGGGACTGGCCTGGAGTTTTGTATTAGATTTCTCATTTTCCAATAGAGCAGAACTAGTCCTGGAAACATTTGACGTTTCCGGAATCGTGAAGTTTTGAAGGAATATGGGTGGGTATATATTGAGAATCGTTGTTTTTGCGAGCCATTGCAAAGGTACTCGGACCCGACCTTTGGAACTGGCCTGGAGTTTTGTATTAGATTTCTCATTTTCCAATAGAGCAGAACTAGTCCTGGAAACATTTGACGTTTCCGGAATCGTGAAGTTTTGAAGGAATATGGGTGGGTATATATTGAGAATCGTTGTTTTTGCGAGCCATTGCAAAGGTACTCGGACCCGAACTCTAGGACTGGCCTGGAGTTTTGTATTAGATTTCTCACTTTCCAGTAGAGCAGTACTAGTTCTAGAAACATTTGACGTTCCCGGAATCGTGAATTTTTGAAGGAATATGGTGGGTATATATTGAGAATCGTTGTTTTTGCGAGCCATTGCAAAGGTACTCGGACCCGACCTCTGGGATTGGCCTGGAGTTTTGTATTAGATTTCTCACTTTCCAATAGAGCAGAACTAGTCCTGGAAACATTTGACGTTTCCGGAATCGTGAAGTTTTGAAGGAATATGGGTGGGTATATATTGAGAATCGTTGTTTTTGCGAGCCATTGCAAAGGTACTCGGACCCAACCTCTGAGACTGGCCTGGAGTTTTGTATTAGATTTCTCACTTTCCAATAGAGCAGTACTAGTCCTGGAAACATTTGACGTTTCCGGAATTGTGAATTTTTGAAGGAATATGGGTGGGTATATTTTGAGAATCGTTGTTTTTGCGAGCCATTGCAAAGGTACTCGGACCCGACCTCTGGGATTGGCCTGGAGTTTTGTATTAGATTTCTCACTTTCCAATAGAGCAGAACTAGTTCTGGAAACATTTGATATGGGTGGGTATATATTGAGAATCGTTGTTTTTGCGAGCCATTGCAAAGGTACTCGGACCCAACCTCTGAGACTGGCCTGGAGTTTTGCATTAGATTTCTCACTTTCCAATAGAGCAGTACTAGTCCTGGAAACATTTGACGTTTCCGGAATCGTGAATTTTTGAAGGAATATGGGTGGGTATATATTGAGAATCGTTGTTTTTGCGAGCCATTGCAAAGGTACTCGGACCCGACCTCTGGGATTGGCCTGGAGTTTTGTATTAGATTTCTCATTTTCCAATAGAGCAGAACTAGTCCTGGAAACATTTGACGTTTCCGGAATCGTGAAGTTTTGAAGGAATATGGGTGGGTATATATTGAGAATCGTTGTTTTTGCGAGCCATTGCAAAGGTACTCGGACCCGAACTCTAGGACTGGCCTGGAGTTTTGTATTAGATTTCTCACTTTCCAGTAGAGCAGTACTAGTCCTAGAAACATTTGACGTTCCCGGAATCGTGAATTTTTGAAGGAATATGGTGGGTATATATTGAGAATCGTTGTTTTTGCGAGCCATTGCAAAGGTACTCGGACCCGACCTCTGGGATTGGCCTGGAGTTTTGTATTAGATTTCTCACTTTCCAATAGAGCAGAACTAGTCCTGGAAACATTTGACGTTTCCGGAATCGTGAAGTTTTGAAGGAATATGGGTGGGTATATATTGAGAATCGTTGTTTTTGCGAGCCATTGCAAAGGTACTCGGACCCAACCTCTGAGACTGGCCTGGAGTTTTGTATTAGATTTCTCACTTTCCAATAGAGCAGTACTAGTCCTGGAAACATTTGACGTTTCCGGAATCGTGAATTTTTGAAGGAATATGGGTGGGTATATATTGAGAATCGTTGTTTTTGCGAGCCATTGCAAAGGTACTCGGACCCGACCTCTGGGATTGGCCTGGAGTTTTGTATTAGATTTCTCATTTTCCAATAGAGCAGAACTAGTCCTGGAAACATTTGACGTTTCCGGAATTGTGAATTTTTGAAGGAATATGGGTGGGTATATTTTGAGAATCGTTGTTTTTGCGAGCCATTGCAAAGGTACTCGGACCCGACCTCTGGGATTGGCCTGGAGTTTTGTATTAGATTTCTCACTTTCCAATAGAGCAGAACTAGTTCTGGAAACATTTGATATGGGTGGGTATATATTGAGAATCGTTGTTTTTGCGAGCCATTGCAAAGGTACTCGGACCCAACCTCTGAGACTGGCCTGGAGTTTTGCATTAGATTTCTCACTTTCCAATAGAGCAGTACTAGTCCTGGAAACATTTGACGTTTCCGGAATCGTGAATTTTTGAAGGAATATGGGTGGGTATATATTGAGAATCGTTGTTTTTGCGAGCCATTGCAAAGGTACTCGGACCCGACCTCTGGGATTGGCCTGGAGTTTTGTATTAGATTTCTCATTTTCCAATAGAGCAGAACTAGTCCTGGAAACATTTGACGTTTCCGGAATCGTGAAGTTTTGAAGGAATATGGGTGGGTATATATTGAGAATCGTTGTTTTTGCGAGCCATTGCAAAGGTACTCGGACCCGAACTCTAGGACTGGCCTGGAGTTTTGTATTAGATTTCTCACTTTCCAGTAGAGCAGTACTAGTCCTAGAAACATTTGACGTTCCCGGAATCGTGAATTTTTGAAGGAATATGGTGGGTATATATTGAGAATCGTTGTTTTTGCGAGCCATTGCCAAGGTACTCGGACCCGACCTCTGGGATTGGCCTGGAGTTTTGTATTAGATTTCTCACTTTCCAATAGAGCAGAACTAGTCCTGGAAACATTTGACGTTTCCGGAATCGTGAAGTTTTGAAGGAATATGGGTGGGTATATATTGAGAATCGTTGTTTTTGCGAGCCATTGCAAAGGTACTCGGACCCAACCTCTGAGACTGGCCTGGAGTTTTGTATTAGATTTCTCACTTTCCAATAGAGCAGTACTAGTCCTGGAAACATTTGACGTTTCCGGAATCGTGAATTTTTGAAGGAATATGGGTGGGTATATATTGAGAATCGTTGTTTTTGCGAGCCATTGCAAAGGTACTCGGACCCGACCTCTGGGATTGGCCTGGAGTTTTGTATTAGATTTCTCATTTTCCAATAGAGCAGAACTAGTCCTGGAAACATTTGACGTTTCCGGAATTGTGAATTTTTGAAGGAATATGGGTGGGTATATTTTGAGAATCGTTGTTTTTGCGAGCCATTGCAAAGGTACTCGGACCCGACCTCTGGGATTGGCCTGGAGTTTTGTATTAGATTTCTCACTTTCCAATAGAGCAGAACTAGTTCTGGAAACATTTGATATGGGTGGGTATATATTGAGAATCGTTGTTTTTGCGAGCCATTGCAAAGGTACTCGGACCCAACCTCTGAGACTGGCCTGGAGTTTTGCATTAGATTTCTCACTTTCCAATAGAGCAGTACTAGTCCTGGAAACATTTGACGTTTCCGGAATCGTGAATTTTTGAAGGAATATGGGTGGGTATATATTGAGAATCGTTGTTTTTGCGAGCCATTGCAAAGGTACTCGGACCCGACCTCTGGGATTGGCCTGGAGTTTTGTATTAGATTTCTCATTTTCCAATAGAGCAGAACTAGTCCTGGAAACATTTGACGTTTCCGGAATCGTGAAGTTTTGAAGGAATATGGGTGGGTATATATTGAGAATCGTTGTTTTTGCGAGCCATTGCAAAGGTACTCGGACCCGACCTTTGGGACTGGCCTGGAGTTTTGTATTAGATTTCTCATTTTCCAATAGAGCAGAACTAGTCCTGGAAACATTTGACGTTTCCGGAATCGTGAAGTTTTGAAGGAATATGGTGGGTATATATTGAGAATCGTTGTTTTTGCGAGCCATTGCAAAGGTACTCGGACCCGACCTCTGGGATTGGCCTGGAGTTTTGTATTAGATTTCTCACTTTCCAATAGAGCAGAACTAGTCCTGGAAACATTTGACGTTTCCGGAATCGTGAAGTTTTGAAGGAATATGGGTGGGTATATATTGAGAATCGTTGTTTTTGCGAGCCATTGCAAAGGTACTCGGACCCGACCTTTGGGACTGGCCTGGAGTTTTGTATTAGATTTCTCATTTTCCAATAGAGCAGAACTAGTCCTGGAAACATTTGACGTTTCCGGAATCGTGAAGTTTTGAAGGAATATGGGTGGGTATATATTGAGAATCGTTGTTTTTGCGAGCCATTGCAAAGGTACTCGGACCCGACCTTTGGGACTGGCCTGGAGTTTTGTATTAGATTTCTCACTTTCCAGTAGAGCAGTACTAGTCCTAGAAACATTTGACGTTCCCGGAATCGTGAATTTTTGAAGGAATATGGTGGGTATATATTGAGAATCGTTGTTTTTGCGAGCCATTGCAAAGGTACTCGGACCCGACCTCTGGGATTGGCCTGGAGTTTTGTATTAGATTTCTCACTTTCCAATAGAGCAGAACTAGTTCTGGAAACATTTGATATGGGTGGGTATATATTGAGAATCGTTGTTTTTGCGAGCCATTGCAAAGGTACTCGGACCCAACCTCTGAGACTGGCCTGGAGTTTTGCATTAGATTTCTCACTTTCCAATAGAGCAGTACTAGTCCTGGAAACATTTGACGTTTCCGGAATCGTGAATTTTTGAAGGAATATGGGTGGGTATATATTGAGAATCGTTGTTTTTGCGAGCCATTGCAAAGGTACTCGGACCCGACCTCTGGGATTGGCCTGGAGTTTTGTATTAGATTTCTCATTTTCCAATAGAGCAGAACTAGTCCTGGAAACATTTGACGTTTCCGGAATCGTGAAGTTTTGAAGGAATATGGGTGGGTATATATTGAGAATCGTTGTTTTTGCGAGCCATTGCAAAGGTACTCGGACCCGACCTTTGGGACTGGCCTGGAGTTTTGTATTAGATTTCTCATTTTCCAATAGAGCAGAACTAGTCCTGGAAACATTTGACGTTTCCGGAATCGTGAAGTTTTGAAGGAATATGGTGGGTATATATTGAGAATCGTTGTTTTTGCGAGCCATTGCAAAGGTACTCGGACCCGACCTCTGGGATTGGCCTGGAGTTTTGTATTAGATTTCTCACTTTCCAATAGAGCAGAACTAGTCCTGGAAACATTTGACGTTTCCGGAATCGTGAAGTTTTGAAGGAATATGGGTGGGTATATATTGAGAATCGTTGTTTTTGCGAGCCATTGCAAAGGTACTCGGACCCAACCTCTGAGACTGGCCTGGAGTTTTGTATTAGATTTCTCACTTTCCAATAGAGCAGTACTAGTCCTGGAAACATTTGACGTTTCCGGAATCGTGAATTTTTGAAGGAATATGGGTGGGTATATATTGAGAATCGTTGTTTTTGCGAGCCATTGCAAAGGTACTCGGACCCGACCTCTGGGATTGGCCTGGAGTTTTGTATTAGATTTCTCATTTTCCAATAGAGCAGAACTAGTCCTGGAAACATTTGACGTTTCCGGAATTGTGAATTTTTGAAGGAATATGGGTGGGTATATTTTGAGAATCGTTGTTTTTGCGAGCCATTGCAAAGGTACTCGGACCCGACCTCTGGGATTGGCCTGGAGTTTTGTATTAGATTTCTCACTTTCCAATAGAGCAGAACTAGTTCTGGAAACATTTGATATGGGTGGGTATATATTGAGAATCGTTGTTTTTGCGAGCCATTGCAAAGGTACTCGGACCCAACCTCTGAGACTGGCCTGGAGTTTTGCATTAGATTTCTCACTTTCCAATAGAGCAGTACTAGTCCTGGAAACATTTGACGTTTCCGGAATCGTGAATTTTTGAAGGAATATGGGTGGGTATATATTGAGAATCGTTGTTTTTGCGAGCCATTGCAAAGGTACTCGGACCCGACCTCTGGGATTGGCCTGGAGTTTTGTATTAGATTTCTCATTTTCCAATAGAGCAGAACTAGTCCTGGAAACATTTGACGTTTCCGGAATCGTGAAGTTTTGAAGGAATATGGGTGGGTATATATTGAGAATCGTTGTTTTTGCGAGCCATTGCAAAGGTACTCGGACCCAACCTCTGAGACTGGCCTGGAGTTTTGCATTAGATTTCTCACTTTCCAATAGAGCAGTACTAGTCCTGGAAACATTTGACGTTTCCGGAATCGTGAATTTTTGAAGGAATATGGGTGGGTATATATTGAGAATCGTTGTTTTTGCGAGCCATTGCAAAGGTACTCGGACCCGACCTCTGGGATTGGCCTGGAGTTTTGTATTAGATTTCTCATTTTCCAATAGAGCAGAACTAGTCCTGGAAACATTTGACGTTTCCGGAATCGTGAAGTTTTGAAGGAATATGGGTGGGTATATATTGAGAATCGTTGTTTTTGCGAGCCATTGCAAAGGTACTCGGACCCGACCTTTGGGACTGGCCTGGAGTTTTGTATTAGATTTCTCATTTTCCAATAGAGCAGAACTAGTCCTGGAAACATTTGACGTTTCCGGAATCGTGAAGTTTTGAAGGAATATGGTGGGTATATATTGAGAATCGTTGTTTTTGCGAGCCATTGCAAAGGTACTCGGACCCGACCTCTGGGATTGGCCTGGAGTTTTGTATTAGATTTCTCACTTTCCAATAGAGCAGAACTAGTCCTGGAAACATTTGACGTTTCCGGAATCGTGAAGTTTTGAAGGAATATGGGTGGGTATATATTGAGAATCGTTGTTTTTGCGAGCCATTGCAAAGGTACTCGGACCCAACCTCTGAGACTGGCCTGGAGTTTTGTATTAGATTTCTCACTTTCCAATAGAGCAGTACTAGTCCTGGAAACATTTGACGTTTCCGGAATCAGTACTCTGCGTTGATACCACTGCTTGTATATATTGAGAATCGTTGTTTTTGCGAGCCATTGCAAAGGTACTCGGACCCGACCTCTGGGATTGGCCTGGAGTTTTGTATTAGATTTCTCATTTTCCAATAGAGCAGAACTAGTCCTGGAAACATTTGACGTTTCCGGAATTGTGAATTTTTGAAGGAATATGGGTGGGTATATTTTGAGAATCGTTGTTTTTGCGAGCCATTGCAAAGGTACTCGGACCCGACCTCTGGGATTGGCCTGGAGTTTTGTATTAGATTTCTCACTTTCCAATAGAGCAGAACTAGTTCTGGAAACATTTGATATGGGTGGGTATATATTGAGAATCGTTGTTTTTGCGAGCCATTGCAAAGGTACTCGGACCCAACCTCTGAGACTGGCCTGGAGTTTTGCATTAGATTTCTCACTTTCCAATAGAGCAGTACTAGTCCTGGAAACATTTGACGTTTCCGGAATCGTGAATTTTTGAAGGAATATGGGTGGGTATATATTGAGAATCGTTGTTTTTGCGAGCCATTGCAAAGGTACTCGGACCCGACCTCTGGGATTGGCCTGGAGTTTTGTATTAGATTTCTCATTTTCCAATAGAGCAGAACTAGTCCTGGAAACATTTGACGTTTCCGGAATCGTGAAGTTTTGAAGGAATATGGGTGGGTATATATTGAGAATCGTTGTTTTTGCGAGCCATTGCAAAGGTACTCGGACCCGACCTTTGGGACTGGCCTGGAGTTTTGTATTAGATTTCTCATTTTCCAATAGAGCAGAACTAGTCCTGGAAACATTTGACGTTTCCGGAATCGTGAAGTTTTGAAGGAATATGGTGGGTATATATTGAGAATCGTTGTTTTTGCGAGCCATTGCAAAGGTACTCGGACCCGAACTCTAGGACTGGCCTGGAGTTTTGTATTAGATTTCTCACTTTCCAGTAGAGCAGTACTAGTCCTAGAAACATTTGACGTTCCCGGAATTGTGAATTTTTGAAGGAATATGGTGGGTATATATTGAGAATCGTTGTTTTTGCGAGCCATTGCAAAGGTACTCGGACCCAACCTCTGGGACTGGCCTGGAGTTTTGTATTAGATTTCTCACTTTCCAATAGAGCAGAACTAGTCCTGGAAACATTTGACGTTTCCGGAATCGTGAAGTTTTGAAGGAATATGGGTGGGTATATATTGAGAATCGTTGTTTTTGCGAGCCATTGCAAAGGTACTCGGACCCAACCTCTGGGACTGGCCTGGAGTTTTGTATTAGATTTCTCACTTTCCAATAGAGCAGAACTAGTCCTGGAAACATTTGACGTTTCCGGAATCGTGAAGTTCCAACCTCTGAGACTGGCCTGGAGTTTTGTATTAGATTTCTCACTTTCCAATAGAGCAGTACTAGTCCTGGAAACATTTGACGTTTCCGGAATCGTGAATTTTTGAAGGAATATGGGTGGGTATATATTGAGAATCGTTGTTTTTGCGAGCCATTGCAAAGGTACTCGGACCCGACCTCTGGGATTGGCCTGGAGTTTTGTATTAGATTTCTCATTTTCCAATAGAGCAGAACTAGTCCTGGAAACATTTGACGTTTCCGGAATTGTGAATTTTTGAAGGAATATGGGTGGGTATATTTTGAGAATCGTTGTTTTTGCGAGCCATTGCAAAGGTACTCGGACCCGACCTCTGGGATTGGCCTGGAGTTTTGTATTAGATTTCTCACTTTCCAATAGAGCAGAACTAGTCCTGGAAACATTTGACGTTTCCGGAATCGTGAAGTTTTGAAGGAATATGGGTGGGTATATATTGAGAATCGTTGTTTTTGCGAGCCATTGCAAAGGTACTCGGACCCAACCTCTGAGACTGGCCTGGAGTTTTGTATTAGATTTCTCACTTTCCAATAGAGCAGTACTAGTCCTGGAAACATTTGACGTTTCCGGAATCGTGAATTTTTGAAGGAATATGGGTGGGTATATATTGAGAATCGTTGTTTTTGCGAGCCATTGCAAAGGTACTCGGACCCGACCTCTGGGATTGGCCTGGAGTTTTGTATTAGATTTCTCATTTTCCAATAGAGCAGAACTAGTCCTGGAAACATTTGACGTTTCCGGAATCGTGAAGTTTTGAAGGAATATGGGTGGGTATATATTGAAAATCGTTGTTTTTGCGAGCCATTGCAAAGGTACTCGGACCCGACCTTTGGGACTGGCCTGGAGTTTTGTATTAGATTTCTCATTTTCCAATAGAGCAGAACTAGTCCTGGAAACATTTGACGTTTCCGGAATCGTGAAGTTTTGAAGGAATATGGTGGGTATATATTGAGAATCGTTGTTTTTGCGAGCCATTGCAAAGGTACTCGGACCCGACCTCTGGGATTGGCCTGGAGTTTTGTATTAGATTTCTCACTTTCCAATAGAGCAGAACTAGTCCTGGAAACATTTGACGTTTCCGGAATCGTGAAGTTTTGAAGGAATATGGGTGGGTATATATTGAGAATCGTTGTTTTTGCGAGCCATTGCAAAGGTACTCGGACCCAACCTCTGAGACTGGCCTGGAGTTTTGTATTAGATTTCTCACTTTCCAATAGAGCAGTACTAGTCCTGGAAACATTTGACGTTTCCGGAATCGTGAATTTTTGAAGGAATATGGGTGGGTATATATTGAGAATCGTTGTTTTTGCGAGCCATTGCAAAGGTACTCGGACCCGACCTCTGGGATTGGCCTGGAGTTTTGTATTAGATTTCTCATTTTCCAATAGAGCAGAACTAGTCCTGGAAACATTTGACGTTTCCGGAATTGTGAATTTTTGAAGGAATATGGGTGGGTATATTTTGAGAATCGTTGTTTTTGCGAGCCATTGCAAAGGTACTCGGACCCGACCTCTGGGATTGGCCTGGAGTTTTGTATTAGATTTCTCACTTTCCAATAGAGCAGAACTAGTTCTGGAAACATTTGATATGGGTGGGTATATATTGAGAATCGTTGTTTTTGCGAGCCATTGCAAAGGTACTCGGACCCAACCTCTGAGACTGGCCTGGAGTTTTGCATTAGATTTCTCACTTTCCAATAGAGCAGTACTAGTCCTGGAAACATTTGACGTTTCCGGAATCGTGAATTTTTGAAGGAATATGGGTGGGTATATATTGAGAATCGTTGTTTTTGCGAGCCATTGCAAAGGTACTCGGACCCGACCTCTGGGATTGGCCTGGAGTTTTGTATTAGATTTCTCATTTTCCAATAGAGCAGAACTAGTCCTGGAAACATTTGACGTTTCCGGAATCGTGAAGTTTTGAAGGAATATGGGTGGGTATATATTGAGAATCGTTGTTTTTGCGAGCCATTGCAAAGGTACTCGGACCCGACCTTTGGGACTGGCCTGGAGTTTTGTATTAGATTTCTCATTTTCCAATAGAGCAGAACTAGTCCTGGAAACATTTGACGTTTCCGGAATCGTGAAGTTTTGAAGGAATATGGGTGGGTATATATTGAGAATCGTTGTTTTTGCGAGCCATTGCAAAGGTACTCGGACCCGAACTCTAGGACTGGCCTGGAGTTTTGTATTAGATTTCTCACTTTCCAGTAGAGCAGTACTAGTCCTAGAAACATTTGACGTTCCCGGAATTGTGAATTTTTGAAGGAATATGGTGGGTATATATTGAGAATCGTTGTTTTTGCGAGCCATTGCAAAGGTACTCGGACCCAACCTCTGGGACTGGCCTGGAGTTTTGTATTAGATTTCTCACTTTCCAATAGAGCAGAACTAGTCCTGGAAACATTTGACGTTTCCGGAATCGTGAAGTTTTGAAGGAATATGGGTGGGTATATATTGAGAATCGTTGTTTTTGCGAGCCATTGCAAAGGTACTCGGACCCAACCTCTGGGACTGGCCTGGAGTTTTGTATTAGATTTCTCACTTTCCAATAGAGCAGAACTAGTCCTGGAAACATTTGACGTTTCCGGAATCGTGAAGTTTTGAAGGAATATGGTGGGTATATATTGAGAATCGTTGTTTTTGCGAGCCATTGCAAAGGTACTCGGACCCGACCTCTGGGATTGGCCTGGAGTTTTGTATTAGATTTCTCATTTTCCAATAGAGCAGAACTAGTCCTGGAAACATTTGACGTTTCCGGAATTGTGAATTTTTGAAGGAATATGGGTGGGTATATTTTGAGAATCGTTGTTTTTGCGAGCCATTGCAAAGGTACTCGGACCCGACCTCTGGGATTGGCCTGGAGTTTTGTATTAGATTTCTCACTTTCCAATAGAGCAGAACTAGTCCTGGAAACATTTGACGTTTCCGGAATCGTGAAGTTTTGAAGGAATATGGGTGGGTATATATTGAGAATCGTTGTTTTTGCGAGCCATTGCAAAGGTACTCGGACCCAACCTCTGAGACTGGCCTGGAGTTTTGTATTAGATTTCTCACTTTCCAATAGAGCAGTACTAGTCCTGGAAACATTTGACGTTTCCGGAATCGTGAATTTTTGAAGGAATATGGGTGGGTATATATTGAGAATCGTTGTTTTTGCGAGCCATTGCAAAGGTACTCGGACCCGACCTCTGGGATTGGCCTGGAGTTTTGTATTAGATTTCTCATTTTCCAATAGAGCAGAACTAGTCCTGGAAACATTTGACGTTTCCGGAATCGTGAAGTTTTGAAGGAATATGGGTGGGTATCTCGGACCCGACCTTTGGGACTGGCCTGGAGTTTTGTATTAGATTTCTCATTTTCCAATAGAGCAGAACTAGTCCTGGAAACATTTGACGTTTCCGGAATCGTGAAGTTTTGAAGGAATATGGGTGGGTATATATTGAGAATCGTTGTTTTTGCGAGCCATTGCAAAGGTACTCGGACCCGAACTCTAGGACTGGCCTGGAGTTTTGTATTAGATTTCTCACTTTCCAGTAGAGCAGTACTAGTCCTAGAAACATTTGACGTTCCCGGAATCGTGAATTTTTGAAGGAATATGGTGGGTATATATTGAGAATCGTTGTTTTTGCGAGCCATTGCAAAAGTACTCGGACCCGACCTCTGGGATTGGCCTGGAGTTTTGTATTAGATTTCTCACTTTCCAATAGAGCAGAACTAGTCCTGGAAACATTTGACGTTTCCGGAATCGTGAAGTTCTGAAGGAATATGGGTGGGTATATATTGAGAATCGTTGTTTTTGCGAGCCATTGCAAAGGTACTCGGACCCAACCTCTGAGACTGGCCTGGAGTTTTGTATTAGATTTCTCACTTTTCAATAGAGCAGTACTAGTCCTGGAAACATTTGACGTTTCCGGAATCGTGAATTTTTGAAGGAATATGGGTGGGTATATATTGAGAATCGTTGTTTTTGCGAGCCATTGCCAAGGTACTCGGACCCGACCTCTGGGATTGGCCTGGAGTTTTGTATTAGATTTCTCACTTTCCAATAGAGCAGAACTAGTCCTGGAAACATTTGACGTTTCCGGAATCGTGAAGTTTTGAAGGAATATGGGTGGGTATATATTGAGAATCGTTGTTTTTGCGAGCCATTGCAAAGGTACTCGGACCCGACCTCTGGGATTGGCCTGGAGTTTTGTATTAGATTTCTCATTTTCCAATAGAGCAGAACTAGTCCTGGAAACATTTGACGTTTCCGGAATTGTGAATTTTTGAAGGAATATGGGTGGGTATATTTTGAGAATCGTTGTTTTTGCGAGCCATTGCAAAGGTACTCGGACCCGAACTCTGGGATTGGCCTGGAGTTTTGTATTAGATTTCTCATTTTCCAATAGAGCAGAACTAGTCCTGGAAACATTTGACGTTTCCGGAATCGTGAAGTTTTGAAGGAATATGGGTGGGTATATATTGAGAATCGTTGTTTTTGCGAGCCATTGCAAAGGTACTCGGACCCGAACTCTAGGACTGGCCTGGAGTTTTGTATTAGATTTCTCACTTTCCAGTAGAGCAGTACTAGTCCTAGAAACATTTGACGTTCCCGGAATTGTGAATTTTTGAAGGAATATGGTGGGTATATATTGAGAATCGTTGTTTTTGCGAGCCATTGCAAAGGTACTCGGACCCAACCTCTGGGACTGGCCTGGAGTTTTGTATTAGATTTCTCACTTTCCAATAGAGCAGAACTAGTCCTGGAAACATTTGACGTTTCCGGAATCGTGAAGTTTTGAAGGAATATGGGTGGGTATATATTGAGAATCGTTGTTTTTGCGAGCCATTGCAAAGGTACTCGGACCCAACCTCTGGGACTGGCCTGGAGTTTTGTATTAGATTTCTCACTTTCCAATAGAGCAGAACTAGTCCTGGAAACATTTGACGTTTCCGGAATCGTGAAGTTTTGAAGGAATATGGTGGGTATATATTGAGAATCGTTGTTTTTGCGAGCCATTGCAAAGGTACTCGGACCCGACCTCTGGGATTGGCCTGGAGTTTTGTATTAGATTTCTCATTTTCCAATAGAGCAGAACTAGTCCTGGAAACATTTGACGTTTCCGGAATTGTGAATTTTTGAAGGAATATGGGTGGGTATATTTTGAGAATCGTTGTTTTTGCGAGCCATTGCAAAGGTACTCGGACCCGACCTCTGGGATTGGCCTGGAGTTTTGTATTAGATTTCTCACTTTCCAATAGAGCAGAACTAGTCCTGGAAACATTTGACGTTTCCGGAATCGTGAAGTTTTGAAGGAATATGGGTGGGTATATATTGAGAATCGTTGTTTTTGCGAGCCATTGCAAAGGTACTCGGACCCAACCTCTGAGACTGGCCTGGAGTTTTGTATTAGATTTCTCACTTTCCAATAGAGCAGTACTAGTCCTGGAAACATTTGACGTTTCCGGAATCGTGAATTTTTGAAGGAATATGGGTGGGTATATATTGAGAATCGTTGTTTTTGCGAGCCATTGCAAAGGTACTCGGACCCGACCTCTGGGATTGGCCTGGAGTTTTGTATTAGATTTCTCATTTTCCAATAGAGCAGAACTAGTCCTGGAAACATTTGACGTTTCCGGAATCGTGAAGTTTTGAAGGAATATGGGTGGGTATCTCGGACCCGACCTTTGGGACTGGCCTGGAGTTTTGTATTAGATTTCTCATTTTCCAATAGAGCAGAACTAGTCCTGGAAACATTTGACGTTTCCGGAATCGTGAAGTTTTGAAGGAATATGGGTGGGTATATATTGAGAATCGTTGTTTTTGCGAGCCATTGCAAAGGTACTCGGACCCGAACTCTAGGACTGGCCTGGAGTTTTGTATTAGATTTCTCACTTTCCAGTAGAGCAGTACTAGTCCTAGAAACATTTGACGTTCCCGGAATCGTGAATTTTTGAAGGAATATGGTGGGTATATATTGAGAATCGTTGTTTTTGCGAGCCATTGCAAAAGTACTCGGACCCGACCTCTGGGATTGGCCTGGAGTTTTGTATTAGATTTCTCACTTTCCAATAGAGCAGAACTAGTCCTGGAAACATTTGACGTTTCCGGAATCGTGAAGTTCTGAAGGAATATGGGTGGGTATATATTGAGAATCGTTGTTTTTGCGAGCCATTGCAAAGGTACTCGGACCCAACCTCTGAGACTGGCCTGGAGTTTTGTATTAGATTTCTCACTTTTCAATAGAGCAGTACTAGTCCTGGAAACATTTGACGTTTCCGGAATCGTGAATTTTTGAAGGAATATGGGTGGGTATATATTGAGAATCGTTGTTTTTGCGAGCCATTGCCAAGGTACTCGGAGCCGACCTCTGGGATTGGCCTGGAGTTTTGTATTAGATTTCTCACTTTCCAATAGAGCAGAACTAGTCCTGGAAACATTTGACGTTTCCGGAATCGTGAAGTTTTGAAGGAATATGGGTGGGTATATATTGAGAATCGTTGTTTTTGCGAGCCATTGCAAAGGTACTCGGACCCGACCTCTGGGATTGGCCTGGAGTTTTGTATTAGATTTCTCATTTTCCAATAGAGCAGAACTAGTCCTGGAAACATTTGACGTTTCCGGAATTGTGAATTTTTGAAGGAATATGGGTGGGTATATTTTGAGAATCGTTGTTTTTGCGAGCCATTGCAAAGGTACTCGGACCCGAACTCTGGGATTGGCCTGGAGTTTTGTATTAGATTTCTCACTTTCCAATAGAGCAGAACTAGTCCTGGAAACATTTGACGTTTCCGGAATCGTGAAGTTTTGAAGGAATATGGGTGGGTATATATTGAGAATCGTTGTTTTTGCGAGCCATTGCAAAGGTACTCGGACCCAACCTCTGAGACTGGCCTGGAGTTTTGCATTAGATTTCTCACTTTCCAATAGAGCAGTACTAGTCCTGGAAACATTTGACGTTTCCGGAATCGTGAAGTTCCAACCTCTGAGACTGGCCTGGAGTTTTGTATTAGATTTCTCACTTTCCAATAGAGCAGTACTAGTCCTGGAAACATTTGACGTTTCCGGAATCGTGAATTTTTGAAGGAATATGGGTGGGTATATATTGAGAATCGTTGTTTTTGCGAGCCATTGCAAAGGTACTCGGACCCGACCTCTGGGATTGGCCTGGAGTTTTGTATTAGATTTCTCATTTTCCAATAGAGCAGAACTAGTCCTGGAAACATTTGACGTTTCCGGAATTGTGAATTTTTGAAGGAATATGGGTGGGTATATTTTGAGAATCGTTGTTTTTGCGAGCCATTGCAAAGGTACTCGGACCCGACCTCTGGGATTGGCCTGGAGTTTTGTATTAGATTTCTCACTTTCCAATAGAGCAGAACTAGTCCTGGAAACATTTGACGTTTCCGGAATCGTGAAGTTTTGAAGGAATATGGGTGGGTATATATTGAGAATCGTTGTTTTTGCGAGCCATTGCAAAGGTACTCGGACCCAACCTCTGAGACTGGCCTGGAGTTTTGTATTAGATTTCTCACTTTCCAATAGAGCAGTACTAGTCCTGGAAACATTTGACGTTTCCGGAATCGTGAATTTTTGAAGGAATATGGGTGGGTATATATTGAGAATCGTTGTTTTTGCGAGCCATTGCAAAGGTACTCGGACCCGACCTCTGGGATTGGCCTGGAGTTTTGTATTAGATTTCTCATTTTCCAATAGAGCAGAACTAGTCCTGGAAACATTTGACGTTTCCGGAATCGTGAAGTTTTGAAGGAATATGGGTGGGTATATATTGAGAATCGTTGTTTTTGCGAGCCATTGCAAAGGTACTCGGACCCGACCTTTGGGACTGGCCTGGAGTTTTGTATTAGATTTCTCACTTTCCAATAGAGCAGTACTAGTCCTGGAAACATTTGACGTTTCCGGAATCGTGAATTTTTGAAGGAATATGGGTGGGTATATATTGAGAATCGTTGTTTTTGCGAGCCATTGCAAAGGTACTCGGACCCGACCTCTGGGATTGGCCTGGAGTTTTGTATTAGATTTCTCATTTTCCAATAGAGCAGAACTAGTCCTGGAAACATTTGACGTTTCCGGAATTGTGAATTTTTGAAGGAATATGGGTGGGTATATTTTGAGAATCGTTGTTTTTGCGAGCCATTGCAAAGGTACTCGGACCCGACCTCTGGGATTGGCCTGGAGTTTTGTATTAGATTTCTCACTTTCCAATAGAGCAGAACTAGTCCTGGAAACATTTGACGTTTCCGGAATCGTGAAGTTTTGAAGGAATATGGGTGGGTATATATTGAGAATCGTTGTTTTTGCGAGCCATTGCAAAGGTACTCGGACCCAACCTCTGAGACTGGCCTGGAGTTTTGTATTAGATTTCTCACTTTCCAATAGAGCAGTACTAGTCCTGGAAACATTTGACGTTTCCGGAATCGTGAATTTTTGAAGGAATATGGGTGGGTATATATTGAGAATCGTTGTTTTTGCGAGCCATTGCAAAGGTACTCGGACCCGACCTCTGGGATTGGCCTGGAGTTTTGTATTAGATTTCTCATTTTCCAATAGAGCAGAACTAGTCCTGGAAACATTTGACGTTTCCGGAATCGTGAAGTTTTGAAGGAATATGGGTGGGTATATATTGAGAATCGTTGTTTTTGCGAGCCATTGCAAAGGTACTCGGACCCGACCTTTGGGACTGGCCTGGAGTTTTGTATTAGATTTCTCATTTTCCAATAGAGCAGAACTAGTCCTGGAAACATTTGACGTTTCCGGAATCGTGAAGTTTTGAAGGAATATGGGTGGGTATATATTGAGAATCGTTGTTTTTGCGAGCCATTGCAAAGGTACTCGGACCCGAACTCTAGGACTGGCCTGGAGTTTTGTATTAGATTTCTCACTTTCCAGTAGAGCAGTACTAGTCCTAGAAACATTTGACGTTCCCGGAATCGTGAATTTTTGAAGGAATATGGTGGGTATATATTGAGAATCGTTGTTTTTGCGAGCCATTGCAAAGGTACTCGGACCCGACCTCTGGGATTGGCCTGGAGTTTTGTATTAGATTTCTCACTTTCCAATAGAGCAGAACTAGTCCTGGAAACATTTGACGTTTCCGGAATCGTGAAGTTTTGAAGGAATATGGGTGGGTATATATTGAGAATCGTTGTTTTTGCGAGCCATTGCAAAGGTACTCGGACCCAACCTCTGAGACTGGCCTGGAGTTTTGTATTAGATTTCTCACTTTCCAATAGAGCAGTACTAGTCCTGGAAACATTTGACGTTTCCGGAATCGTGAATTTTTGAAGGAATATGGGTGGGTATATATTGAGAATCGTTGTTTTTGCGAGCCATTGCAAAGGTACTCGGACCCGACCTCTGGGATTGGCCTGGAGTTTTGTATTAGATTTCTCATTTTCCAATAGAGCAGAACTAGTCCTGGAAACATTTGACGTTTCCGGAATCGTGAAGTTTTGAAGGAATATGGGTGGGTATATATTGAGAATCGTTGTTTTTGCGAGCCATTGCAAAGGTACTCGGACCCAACCTCTGAGACTGGCCTGGAGTTTTGCATTAGATTTCTCACTTTCCAATAGAGCAGTACTAGTCCTGGAAACATTTGACGTTTCCGGAATCGTGAAGTTCCAACCTCTGAGACTGGCCTGGAGTTTTGTATTAGATTTCTCACTTTCCAATAGAGCAGTACTAGTCCTGGAAACATTTGACGTTTCCGGAATCGTGAATTTTTGAAGGAATATGGGTGGGTATATATTGAGAATCGTTGTTTTTGCGAGCCATTGCAAAGGTACTCGGACCCGACCTCTGGGATTGGCCTGGAGTTTTGTATTAGATTTCTCATTTTCCAATAGAGCAGAACTAGTCCTGGAAACATTTGACGTTTCCGGAATTGTGAATTTTTGAAGGAATATGGGTGGGTATATTTTGAGAATCGTTGTTTTTGCGAGCCATTGCAAAGGTACTCGGACCCGACCTCTGGGATTGGCCTGGAGTTTTGTATTAGATTTCTCACTTTCCAATAGAGCAGAACTAGTCCTGGAAACATTTGACGTTTCCGGAATCGTGAAGTTTTGAAGGAATATGGGTGGGTATATATTGAGAATCGTTGTTTTTGCGAGCCATTGCAAAGGTACTCGGACCCAACCTCTGAGACTGGCCTGGAGTTTTGTATTAGATTTCTCACTTTCCAATAGAGCAGTACTAGTCCTGGAAACATTTGACGTTTCCGGAATCGTGAATTTTTGAAGGAATATGGGTGGGTATATATTGAGAATCGTTGTTTTTGCGAGCCATTGCAAAGGTACTCGGACCCGACCTCTGGGATTGGCCTGGAGTTTTGTATTAGATTTCTCATTTTCCAATAGAGCAGAACTAGTCCTGGAAACATTTGACGTTTCCGGAATCGTGAAGTTTTGAAGGAATATGGGTGGGTATATATTGAGAATCGTTGTTTTTGCGAGCCATTGCAAAGGTACTCGGACCCGACCTTTGGGACTGGCCTGGAGTTTTGTATTAGATTTCTCATTTTCCAATAGAGCAGAACTAGTCCTGGAAACATTTGACGTTTCCGGAATCGTGAAGTTTTGAAGGAATATGGGTGGGTATATATTGAGAATCGTTGTTTTTGCGAGCCATTGCAAAGGTACTCGGACCCGAACTCTAGGACTGGCCTGGAGTTTTGTATTAGATTTCTCACTTTCCAGTAGAGCAGTACTAGTCCTAGAAACATTTGACGTTCCCGGAATCGTGAATTTTTGAAGGAATATGGTGGGTATATATTGAGAATCGTTGTTTTTGCGAGCCATTGCAAAGGTACTCGGACCCGACCTCTGGGATTGGCCTGGAGTTTTGTATTAGATTTCTCACTTTCCAATAGAGCAGAACTAGTCCTGGAAACATTTGACGTTTCCGGAATCGTGAAGTTTTGAAGGAATATGGGTGGGTATATATTGAGAATCGTTGTTTTTGCGAGCCATTGCAAAGGTACTCGGACCCAACCTCTGAGACTGGCCTGGAGTTTTGTATTAGATTTCTCACTTTCCAATAGAGCAGTACTAGTCCTGGAAACATTTGACGTTTCCGGAATCGTGAATTTTTGAAGGAATATGGGTGGGTATATATTGAGAATCGTTGTTTTTGCGAGCCATTGCAAAGGTACTCGGACCCGACCTCTGGGATTGGCCTGGAGTTTTGTATTAGATTTCTCATTTTCCAATAGAGCAGAACTAGTCCTGGAAACATTTGACGTTTCCGGAATCGTGAAGTTTTGAAGGAATATGGGTGGGTATATATTGAGAATCGTTGTTTTTGCGAGCCATTGCAAAGGTACTCGGACCCGACCTTTGGGACTGGCCTGGAGTTTTGTATTAGATTTCTCATTTTCCAATAGAGCAGAACTAGTCCTGGAAACATTTGACGTTTCCGGAATCGTGAAGATTTGAAGGAATATGGGTGGGTATATATTGAGAATCGTTGTTTTTGCGAGCCATTGCAAAGGTACTCGGACCCGAACTCTAGGACTGGCCTGGAGTTTTGTATTAGATTTCTCACTTTCCAGTAGAGCAGTACTAGTCCTAGAAACATTTGACGTTCCCGGAATCGTGAATTTTTGAAGGAATATGGTGGGTATATATTGAGAATCGTTGTTTTTGCGAGCCATTGCAAAGGTACTCGGACCCGACCTCTGGGATTGGCCTGGAGTTTTGTATTAGATTTCTCACTTTCCAATAGAGCAGAACTAGTCCTGGAAACATTTGACGTTTCCGGAATCGTGAAGTTTTGAAGGAATATGGGTGGGTATATATTGAGAATCGTTGTTTTTGCGAGCCATTGCAAAGGTACTCGGACCCAACCTCTGAGACTGGCCTGGAGTTTTGTATTAGATTTCTCACTTTCCAATAGAGCAGTACTAGTACTGGAAACATTTGACGTTTCCGGAATTGTGAATTTTTGAAGGAACATGGGTGGGTATATATTGAGAATCGTTGTTTTTGCGAGCCATTGCAAAGGTACTCGGACCCAACCTCTGGGACTGGCCTGGAGTTTTGTATTAGATTTCTCATTTTCCAATAGAGCAGAACTAGTCCTGGAAACATTTGACGTTTCCGGAATCGTGAAGTTTTGAAGGAATATGGGTGGGTATATATTGAGAATCGTTGTTTTTGCGAGCCATTGCAAAGGTACTCGGACCCGACCTTTGGGACTGGCCTGGAGTTTTGTATTAGATTTCTCACTTTTCAATAGAGCAGTACTAGTCCTGGAAACATTTGACGTTTCCGGAATCGTGAATTTTTGAAGGAATATGGGTGGGTATATATTGAGAATCGTTGTTTTTGCGAGCCATTGCAAAGGTACTCGGACCCGACCTCTGGGATTGGCCTGGAGTTTTGTATTAGATTTCTCATTTTCCAATAGAGCAGAACTAGTCCTGGAAACATTTGACGTTTCCGGAATTGTGAATTTTTGAAGGAATATGGGTGGGTATATTTTGAGAATCGTTGTTTTTGCGAGCCATTGCAAAGGTACTCGGACCCGAACTCTAGGACTGGCCTGGAGTTTTGTATTAGATTTCTCACTTTCCAATAGAGCAGAACTAGTCCTGGAAACATTTGACGTTTCCGGAATCGTGAAGTTTTGAAGGAATATGGGTGGGTATATATTGAGAATCGTTGTTTTTGCGAGCCATTGCAAAGGTACTCGGACCCAACCTCTGAGACTGGCCTGGAGTTTTGCATTAGATTTCTCACTTTCCAATAGAGCAGTACTAGTCCTGGAAACATTTGACGTTTCCGGAATCGTGAAGTTCCAACCTCTGAGACTGGCCTGGAGTTTTGTATTAGATTTCTCACTTTCCAATAGAGCAGTACTAGTCCTGGAAACATTTGACGTTTCCGGAATCGTGAATTTTTGAAGGAATATGGGTGGGTATATATTGAGAATCGTTGTTTTTGCGAGCCATTGCAAAGGTACTCGGACCCGACCTCTGGGATTGGCCTGGAGTTTTGTATTAGATTTCTCATTTTCCAATAGAGCAGAACTAGTCCTGGAAACATTTGACGTTTCCGGAATTGTGAATTTTTGAAGGAATATGGGTGGGTATATTTTGAGAATCGTTGTTTTTGCGAGCCATTGCAAAGGTACTCGGACCCGACCTCTGGGATTGGCCTGGAGTTTTGTATTAGATTTCTCACTTTCCAATAGAGCAGAACTAGTCCTGGAAACATTTGACGTTTCCGGAATCGTGAAGTTTTGAAGGAATATGGGTGGGTATATATTGAGAATCGTTGTTTTTGCGAGCCATTGCAAAGGTACTCGGACCCAACCTCTGAGACTGGCCTGGAGTTTTGTATTAGATTTCTCACTTTCCAATAGAGCAGTACTAGTCCTGGAAACATTTGACGTTTCCGGAATCGTGAATTTTTGAAGGAATATGGGTGGGTATATATTGAGAATCGTTGTTTTTGCGAGCCATTGCAAAGGTACTCGGACCCGACCTCTGGGATTGGCCTGGAGTTTTGTATTAGATTTCTCATTTTCCAATAGAGCAGAACTAGTCCTGGAAACATTTGACGTTTCCGGAATCGTGAAGTTTTGAAGGAATATGGGTGGGTATATATTGAGAATCGTTGTTTTTGCGAGCCATTGCAAAGGTACTCGGACCCGACCTTTGGGACTGGCCTGGAGTTTTGTATTAGATTTCTCATTTTCCAATAGAGCAGAACTAGTCCTGGAAACATTTGACGTTTCCGGAATCGTGAAGTTTTGAAGGAATATGGGTGGGTATATATTGAGAATCGTTGTTTTTGCGAGCCATTGCAAAGGTACTCGGACCCGAACTCTAGGACTGGCCTGGAGTTTTGTATTAGATTTCTCACTTTCCAGTAGAGCAGTACTAGTCCTAGAAACATTTGACGTTCCCGGAATCGTGAATTTTTGAAGGAATATGGTGGGTATATATTGAGAATCGTTGTTTTTGCGAGCCATTGCAAAGGTACTCGGACCCGACCTCTGGGATTGGCCTGGAGTTTTGTATTAGATTTCTCACTTTCCAATAGAGCAGAACTAGTCCTGGAAACATTTGACGTTTCCGGAATCGTGAAGTTTTGAAGGAATATGGGTGGGTATATATTGAGAATCGTTGTTTTTGCGAGCCATTGCAAAGGTACTCGGACCCAACCTCTGAGACTGGCCTGGAGTTTTGTATTAGATTTCTCACTTTCCAATAGAGCAGTACTAGTCCTGGAAACATTTGACGTTTCCGGAATCGTGAATTTTTGAAGGAATATGGGTGGGTATATATTGAGAATCGTTGTTTTTGCGAGCCATTGCAAAGGTACTCGGACCCGACCTCTGGGATTGGCCTGGAGTTTTGTATTAGATTTCTCATTTTCCAATAGAGCAGAACTAGTCCTGGAAACATTTGACGTTTCCGGAATCGTGAAGTTTTGAAGGAATATGGGTGGGTATATATTGAGAATCGTTGTTTTTGCGAGCCATTGCAAAGGTACTCGGACCCGACCTTTGGGACTGGCCTGGAGTTTTGTATTAGATTTCTCATTTTCCAATAGAGCAGAACTAGTCCTGGAAACATTTGACGTTTCCGGAATCGTGAAGATTTGAAGGAATATGGGTGGGTATATATTGAGAATCGTTGTTTTTGCGAGCCATTGCAAAGGTACTCGGACCCGAACTCTAGGACTGGCCTGGAGTTTTGTATTAGATTTCTCACTTTCCAGTAGAGCAGTACTAGTCCTAGAAACATTTGACGTTCCCGGAATCGTGAATTTTTGAAGGAATATGGTGGGTATATATTGAGAATCGTTGTTTTTGCGAGCCATTGCAAAGGTACTCGGACCCGACCTCTGGGATTGGCCTGGAGTTTTGTATTAGATTTCTCACTTTCCAATAGAGCAGAACTAGTCCTGGAAACATTTGACGTTCCCGGAATCGTGAATTTTTGAAGGAATATGGTGGGTATATATTGGGAATCGTTGTTTTTGCGAGCCATTGCAAAGGTACTCGGACCCGACCTCTGGGATTGGCCTGGAGTTTTGTATTAGATTTCTCACTTTCCAATAGAGCAGAACTAGTCCTGGAAACATTTGACGTTTCCGGAATCGTGAAGTTTTGAAGGAATATGGGTGGGTATATATTGAGAATCGTTGTTTTTGCGAGCCATTGCAAAGGTACTCGGACCCAACCTCTGAGACTGGCCTGGAGTTTTGTATTAGATTTCTCACTTTCCAATAGAGCAGTACTAGTCCTGGAAACATTTGACGTTTCCGGAATCGTGAATTTTTGAAGGAATATGGGTGGGTATATATTGAGAATCGTTGTTTTTGCGAGCCATTGCAAAGGTACTCGGACCCGACCTCTGGGATTGGCCTGGAGTTTTGTATTAGATTTCTCATTTTCCAATAGAGCAGAACTAGTCCTGGAAACATTTGACGTTTCCGGAATCGTGAAGTTTTGAAGGAATATGGGTGGGTATATATTGAGAATCGTTGTTTTTGCGAGCCATTGCAAAGGTACTCGGACCCGACCTTTGGGACTGGCCTGGAGTTTTGTATTAGATTTCTCATTTTCCAATAGAGCAGAACTAGTCCTGGAAACATTTGACGTTTCCGGAATCGTGAAGATTTGAAGGAATATGGGTGGGTATATATTGAGAATCGTTGTTTTTGCGAGCCATTGCAAAGGTACTCGGACCCGACCTCTGGGACTGCCCTGGAGTTTCGTATTAGATTTCTCACTTTCCAATAAAGAAGTACTAGTCCTGGAAACATTTGACGTTTCCGGAATCGTGAATTTTTGAAGGAATATGGGTGGGTATATATTGAGAATCGTTGTTTTTGCGAGCCATTGCAAAGGTACTCGGACCCAACCTCTGGGACTGGCCTGGAGTTTTGTATTAGATTTCTCACTTTCCAATAGAGCAGTACTAGTCCTGGAAACATTTGACGTTTCCGGAATCGTGAAGTTTTGAAGGAATATGGGCGGGTATATAAAGAATCGTTGTTTTTGCGAGCCATTGCAAAGGTACACGGACCCGACCTCTAGGACTGGCCTGGAGTTTTGTATTAGATTTCTCACTTTCCAATAGAGCAGTACTAGTACTGGAAACATTTGACGTTTCCGGAATTGTGAATTTTTGAAGGAACATGGGTGGGTATATATTGAGAATCGTTGTTTTTGCGAGCCATTGCAAAGGTACTCGGACCCAACCTCTGGGACTGGCCTGGAGTTTTGTATTAGATTTCTCATTTTCCAATAGAGCAGAACTAGTCCTGGAAACATTTGACGTTTCCGGAATCGTGAAGTTTTGAAGGAATATGGGTGGGTATATATTGAGAATCGTTGTTTTTGCGAGCCATTGCAAAGGTACTCGGACCCGACCTTTGGGACTGGCCTGGAGTTTTGTATTAGATTTCTCATTTTCCAATAGAGCAGAACTAGTCCTGGAAACATTTGACGTTTCCGGAATCGTGAATTTTTGAAGGAACATGGGTGGGTATATATTGAGAATCGTTGTTTTTGCGAGCCATTGCAAAGGTACTCGGACCCGACCTCTGGGACTGCCCTGGAGTTTCGTATTAGATTTCTCACTTTCCAATAGAGAAGTACTAGTTCTGGAAACATTTGACGTTTCCGGAATCGTGAATTTTTGAAGGAATATGGGTGGGTATATAAAGAATCGTTGTTTTTGCGAGCCATTGCAAAGGTACACGGACCCGACCTCTAGGACTGGCCTGGAGTTTTGTATTAGATTTCTCACTTTCCAATAGAGCAGTACTAGTCCTGGAAACATTTGACGTTTCCGGAATCGTGAAGTTTTGAAGGAATATGGGTGGGTATATATTGAGAATCGTTGTTTTTGCGAGCCATTGCAAAGGTACTCGGACCCGACCTCTGGGACTGCCCTGGAGTTTCGTATTAGATTTCTCACTTTCCAATAGAGAAGTACTAGTCCTGGAAACTTTTGACGTTTCCGGAATCGTGAATTTTTGAAGGAATATGGGTGGGTATATTTTGAGAATCGTTGTTTTTGCGAGCCTGCAAGGGTACTCGGACCCGACCTCTAGGACTGGCCTGGAGTTTTGTATTAGATTTCTCACTTTCCAATAGAGCAGTACTAGTACTGGAAACAATTGACGTTTCCGGAATTGTGAATTTTTGAAGGAATATGGGTGGGTATATTTTGAGAATCGTTGTTTTTGCGAGCCTGCAAGGGTACTCGGACCCGACCTCTAGGACTGGCCTGGAGTTTTGTATTAGATTTCTCACTTTCCAATAGAGCAGTACTAGTACTGGAAACATTTGACGTTTCCGGAATTGTGAATTTTTGAAGGAACATGGGTGGGTATATATTGAGAATCGTTGTTTTTGCGAGCCATTGCAAAGGTACTCGGACCCAACCTCTGGGACTGGCCTGGAGTTTTGTATTAGATTTCTCATTTTCCAATAGAGCAGAACTAGTCCTGGAAACATTTGACGTTTCCGGAATCGTGAATTTTTGAAGGAACATGGGTGGGTATATATTGAGAATCGTTGTTTTTGCGAGCCATTGCAAAGGTACTCGGACCCGACCTCTAGGACTGGCCTGGAGTTTTGTATTAGATTTCTCACTTCCCAATAGAGCAGAACTAGTCCTGGAAACATTTGACGTTTCCGGAATCGTGAAGTTTTGAAGGAATATGGGTGGGTATATATTGAGAATCGTTGTTTTTGGGAGCCATTGCAAAGGTACTCGGACCCAACCTCTGGGACTGGCCTGGAGTTTTGTATTAGATTTCTCATTTTCCAATAGAGCAGAACTAGTCCTGGAAACATTTGACGTTTCCGGAATCGTGAAGTTTTGAAGGAATATGGGTGGGTATATATTGAGAATCGTTGTTTTTGCGAGCCATTGCAAAGGTACACGGACCCGACCTCTGGGACTGCCCTGGAGTTTCGTATTAGATTTCTCACTTTCCAATAGAGAAGTACTAGTCCTGGAAACTTTTGACGTTTCCGGAATCGTGAATTTTTGAAGGAATATGGGTGGGTATATATTGAGAATCGTTGTTTTTGCGAGCCATTGCAAAGGTACACGGACCCGACCTCTGGGACTGCCCTGGAGTTTCGTATTAGATTTCTCACTTTCCAATAGAGAAGTACTAGTCCTGGAAACTTTTGACGTTTCCGGAATCGTGAATTTTTGAAGGAATATGGGTGGGTATATTTTGAGAATCGTTGTTTTTGCGAGCCTGCAAGGGTACTCGGACCCGACCTCTAGGACTGGCCTGGAGTTTTGTATTAGATTTCTCACTTTCCAATAGAGCAGTACTAGTACTGGAAACAATTGACGTTTCCGGAATTGTGAATTTTTGAAGGAATATGGGTGGGTATATTTTGAGAATCGTTGTTTTTGCGAGCCTGCAAGGGTACTCGGACCCGACCTCTAGGACTGGCCTGGAGTTTTGTATTAGATTTCTCACTTTTCAATAGAGCAGTACTAGTACTGGAAACATTTGACGTTTCCGGAATTGTGAATTTTTGAAGGAACATGGGTGGGTATATATTGAGAATCGTTGTTTTTGCGAGCCATTGCAAAGGTACTCGGACCCAACCTCTGGGACTGGCCTGGAGTTTTGTATTAGATTTCTCATTTTCCAATAGAGCAGAACTAGTCCTGGAAACATTTGACGTTTCCGGAATCGTGAATTTTTGAAGGAATATGGGTGGGTATATTTTGAGAATCGTTGTTTTTGCAAGCCTGCAAGGGTACTCGGACCCGACCTCTAGGACTGGCCTGGAGTTTTGTATTAGATTTCTCACTTTCCAATAGAGCAGTACTAGTACTGGAAACATTTGACGTTTCCGGAATTGTGAATTTTTGAAGGAACATGGGTGGGTATATATTGAGAATCGTTGTTTTTGCGAGCCATTGCAAAGGTACACGGACCCGACCTCTGGGACTGCCCTGGAGTTTCGTATTAGATTTC